ATACAGTGGTACGGAAAGTATTCAGACCCCTTTAAATTTTTCACTCTTTGTTTCATTGCGCCATTTTCCAAAAATCAAAAAAGTTCATTTTATTTCTCAGTAATGTACACTCAGCACCCCATCTTGACAGAAAAAAAACAGAAATGTAGAAATTTTTGCAAATTTATTAAAAAAGAAAAACTGAAATATCACATGGTCATAAGTATTCAGACCCTTTGCTCAGTATTTTAGAAGCACCCTTTTGATCGAATACAGCCATGAGTCGTTTTGGGAAAGATGCAACAAGTTTTTCACAGTTTTTGGGTATCCTCTGCCATTCCTCCTTGCAGATCCTCTCCAGTTCTGTCAGGTTGGATGGTAAACGTTGGTGGACAGCCATTTCAGGTCTCTCCAGAGATGCTCAATTGGGTTTAAGTCAGGGCTCTGGCTGGGCCATTCAAGAACAGCCACGGAGTTGTTGTGAAGCCACTCCTTCGTTATTTTAGCGGTGTGCTTAGGGTCATTGTCTTGTTGGAAGGTAAACCTTCAGCCCAGTCTGAGGTCCAGAGCACTCTGGAAAAGGTTTTCGTTCAGGATATCCCTGTACTTGGCCGCATTCATCTTTCCCTCGATTGCAACCAGTCGTCCTGTCCCTGCAGCTGAAAAACACCCCACAGCATGATGCTGCCACCACCATGCTTCACTGTTGAGACTGTATTGGACAGGTGATGAGCAGTGTCTGGTTTTCTCCACACATACCGCTTAGAATTAAGGCCAAAAAGTTCTATCTTGGTCTCATCAGACCAGAGGATCTTATTTATCACCATCTTGGAGTCCTTCAGGTGTTTTTTAGCAAACTCCATGCGGGCTTTCATGTGTCTTGCACTGAGGAGAGGCTTCCGTCGGGCCACTCTGCCATAAAGCCCCGACTGGTGGATTGCTGCAGTGATGGTTGACTTACTACAACTTTCTCCCATCTCCCGACTGCATCTCTGGAGCTCAGCCACAGTGACCTTTGGGTTCTTCTTTACCTCTCTCACCAAGGCTCTTCTCCCCTGATAGCTCAGTTTGGCCGGACGGCCAGCTCTAGGAAGGGTTCTGGTCGTCCCAAACGTCTTCCATTTGAGGATTATGGAGGCCACTGTGCTCTTAGGAACCTTAAGTGCAGCAGAAATTTTTTTGTAACCTTGGCCAGATCTGTGCCTTGCCACAATTCTGTCTCTGAGCTCTTCAGGCAGTTCCTTTGACCTCATGATTCTCATTTGCTCTGACATGCACTGTGAGCTGTAAGGTCTTATAGACAGGTGTGTGGCTTTCCTAATCAGTCCAATCAGTATAATCAAACACAGCTGGACTCAAATGAAGGTGTAGAACCATCTCAAGGATGATCAGAAGAAATAGACAGCACCTGAGTTAAATATGAGTGTCACGGCAAAGGGTCTGAATACTTATGACCATGTGATATTTCAGTTTTTCTTTTTTAATAAATTTGCAAAAATTTCTACATTTCTGTTTTTTTCTGTCAAGATGGGGTGCTGAGTGTACATTACTGAGAAATAAAATGAACTTTTTTGATTTTTGGAAAATGGCTGCAATGAAACAAAGAATGAAAAATTTAAAGGGGTCTGAATACTTTCCGTACCCACTGTATATATGAAATAACCAGCCTTAATCTTATTACATGTCATTTAGGGCTGATGAATATTGAAAATGGCAAAATACCCAAGTGCAATGTCCAAAACATTTTTTTTTTTTTAAATAATGCATTGTAATGCTACAGAGAAGCCCGGGCCTACAAATCATATTCTCCAGACATAAGGACATCCATGTTTTGTACAGACCCCAGGAAAACACACACCTTGTATACGTGGGATAAGTGGGTATGGATGAAGGATGGATGGACCCTTCCCATTAGCATTGACTGATGTCGCAATATCTATCAATAATATCTTTTTTGCATTTTATTCAGCCCTAAATCAAACTTAAAAGGGGTGGGATGGAGCCAATCCCAGCTGACATTGGGCGAGAGGCGGGTTACTCCCTGGACAGGTCGCCAGTCCATCATAGGGCTTCAGGTGGTTTTATCATAGCAGTCCAACACCGCCCAAATTAAATTTACATTTGAGAAGATGTAATCAGAAAATACTTGACATTTTTTACCTGATAAATGATTGAGATTATTACTAATTTTGATAAGTTTAATAAAATTGTTTACAAACTGTAGGATGTGCTTAAAAATAAGCAGAACACCACCAGCAGCTGTACATTTAAAATTGGCAGTTACTTTGAAATAAGAAACTTTACTAACATGCGCATAATAGACAAATGTGGAAACTTAAACTCCATATTTGATAATTGAACCACTCAGTTCTCAACCATGGGCGTTAATCTGCCACTGTAATGACCTCCAGCCGCTCCCCCCCCCCCCCCCCCCCCATGTTGGATTCTGCTAAATGAGATACTTACTCTGTTTTACAGAAAATCCAGACGCCCCACCAGTGCACCATGTGTGAAACTTCTCGACCGATGTCGGAAATGGTTCATCATAAAAGTGATGAGAACACAGTGGAGCTTTTCTGCACTCGTACCTGTGTGACGTCTTACACATTACGGCCCGCAATCGTATACAAACTTCAAGGTACGGGGCAATAAGTTTGTCAAGATGGCTTTTTTTTTTTTTTGGTTGATGTCTCTCTCTCTTCCTCCTCTGTATTCAGACGGAAATAACACTTCATTAAAAACACACAGGGCTGTGTTGTTGTGGGTGGGTTGCTGCAAGTACCACTGAGACACTAAATATGATCCAGAAAGTTCAGACTGAGTAACACATCTGTGAATTTTAATGCTTATCAGACAGCAGTTAATAATGTTATGAAAATGATTTTAAAGTTTCCTTAAAGCTCTAATGGTGTGAAGGCTTTTAGGCCATTTTTGGAAAATGTTCAGTTGTGAGGACTTGTAGATTTATCCAAATGTAGAGGGGATGCTGAATTGTTGGGCAGATTCAGTTCTGGGAAACATTGGATTATGTTTGCATTCTTTATGTGACTATCTACTATCTCAGCTGTATATGTCTTTTCCGTGTTTTACATGAGAAGAATCTCTGTCTTGCTGGACCATTCAGGAACTTGGCAGGATGTACTTTGGTTTGCTTCTTTATGTCACAGAGAGGGATGGAGCGGACTCTGTTGAAGTGGAAGGGTGTGTTTGAATGAAGGTTTTGATTTGTGTGTAGGTTCTAAGATCTATTTTGATTTTTGTCTCTTGACTAATAGGTAAACAAATACAGTTTATATTACAGACTAATACACATGTATTTCACACGGCTTGTAGTGGCTGAATCCAAATGGAAGATGTTCTGTAGCGTCTTGACCAACACTTGAAGCTGAAGATGAAATTAAAGTTTATCGTGGCATCTCTAACATCTGCTGCTGATAGAGAATTAAGGTTATACCTACTGCCTCTTATGCTGCCTGCACCACATTTAACAGTGTATCCCCACCCTATCTACCAGCAGCCATTCCTCACACCACCTGACATGCCTTAAAATAGATATTCTGCAGTTTGACACAGATTGCAACCGTTTTATTCGACCCAGCTCGTTCAGTGTGACATGACATGGAGATTGTTATCACACAGCTTGTTTGATTTCTCTGTCCTTGCTCAAGAGGTCGGCAGTCCCACATTAGGTTCAAAAAAGTTAAAACTGCTGACTCACTGATTTAAAATTTGTACAAATGTATTAATTCACTGTGTTGTAGGGATGATTAATCGGGAATATGCATGTTGTTTTGTGATTGGACTGCAGCAATGCAGGGGAAATGTTTCCTTTGCAAATACTGTACATTAACACTTACAATTTCCTTTAATATCTGTTTACAACTACGTAATGGTGTATTATAAACTATTTAATAAATGTTTATGTTTGTACATGTTAATGTGTTTAACAGTTTGCAGTAACCTAATCACATGTTTGTGATTTCTCCCTTCAGGAAAGAAAGGCTCAGATGGGTTGAAGAAGAAGAAATACAAGCAATCAAATGCGACATTGATTATTGTAAGTATCTTTCATACATTAAATAAAATTCAGAGCGCGACAGTAACAATACACCTAAATAAATAAGTAGCTAGATAATGATACAGATGCCATTGCTATCATGTTTTGTTAAAGCTTTCATTCTGAGGCACAGCAGGAAAGCACCAAGAAACAACACTTGGTCTGATTTGATCCTTGCTAAACAGGGTTACACGTGAGTCCAGCAACAACTTCTAATCACTGTACCATTACTGTGCATTCATCCCACAGAAGGATGCAAAGACCACTTCAGACTCCGCTGTAAATGAAAATGACGCATCTGCCGCTGATTCGGACACACCAACTCTGATCATTACAGACTCGTGTGTTCTCTGTTGCCACTGTGGAAAGAAACTGCCGAAAGGACAGACTCTTTACCAGCCGCAGAACTCCCCGGAGGTTTTTTGCTCATCCTCTTGCCTCTCTGAAAGGCATCCCAGCATCAAAGTAGCCACCAAGAACTGCTACAACTGCTTTCAGTAAGTCCATCATATTTTCTATCAAATGTCGTCTGGATGTCACCTCTCTTCCTTTTGTTGCAGGATTATTTGTGTTTGTGCATTTGTATGAAAGACACAGAGAGCGAGAAAGATTGAGTCAAGAGTGAATCAATCCAAAATTTAGATAATTATGTTCCAATTATTAACAAAGTTAAGCTAATAAATAATTTTGACTGTCAGTTAATTGTTTAACGTTCCTGTGTTCCAGCTACTCGTGGGAGTTTGCTGCTTTTCTTTGTCTTGTGTGATCATGAACTGAAAATCTGATAATTGGATAAATTGGCTGATTGGATAAAACAAGCAATTTGATGACCTCACCTTGAGCTTAAAGCTTAAAGAAATTGTGATCGCCATTTTTCACTATTTCCTGAACAATTAATAGAGAAAGTGATCATAACAGATAATTGCTTGCAGCCCTAAAATTTTGTGATGCTGTTAAACACCAGCAAAACTGTGACTATTTCCTCACTCCAAAACAAGAATTATTGTAGATTTCTGAGACATTTAGTTTCCTGCAGGTCAAGTAATGCAAATGCTACATTAAATTCAGGAGATTTGAAGGACTGCTGCCAAAGATCTTCATCCATTCTTTGAAAAACCGAGGTCTCTATGTTGCAACAAAGACCTTTGCTGCGTTGCAACAAAGGTTGGAGGACCTGTACAGCTGACAAAATTTTTCATATCGGCGAATATCCTCTTGCTCTTTTTCCTTCAGGGTGATAATGCGGCCTCACAACATAATCCTCGCTCCGGTTGATGATTCGGGAACTATGAAGGAATTATGCAGCAACACCTGCCTCTCTTCTGTCAACTCAAAGAGGAAAATTACTGCCCCACAACCCCCACCTCTAACAGGACCTCGGTCAGAGTGCAGGATGTGCGCCAAATTCTGCTTTGTAAGGAAACAAATAAATCAACTCTTGACTTTTAGTTAGATCTGTTTTGATATATTACAATTGGGATTATGCAGTTCTTTGATGATGCAATGTGATATGATATTTAAAGGACAAGTCTGGCTGCTTTTGTTGTTGAACAGTGAAACAATTGTTTGTACAGTCAGTTATAGATCTTTAGAGCAATGTCCCTGCATGAAAATGATCTAGTAAGCAAATGCCACTGATGAGTTTTTAAAGGTGAGGTCGAAAGCACAGAGGAAAAAGCTATATCATGCTATACTTGTAAGTAGGCTCAATTAATTTCGTTTTCATTGGATAATTTGAATAAAAATATCACTAGCTTTATCCTTTTAAAATAATCACCACAAATGTGAAAAGAACATATATTTAATTCTCTATTTATAATAATTAACCTGTAGTTAACAAACACATGCTCATTTCTCATCCACAGTGCAAATTCAAGCTGAACCTGGATGGCTTAATGTACAGAATATGCAGCGACGCCTGCTTCATCAACTACCACAAAGTCAACAACTTGCCCCTGTTTGCTTGTGACGTCTGCAGCTCCGTCTGCCACTACAAACGGTTCATGCTGAAGATGGATGACGCCAGTAAAACCATCTGCAGTGCAGAATGTCTGGTCAAGTTTAAAGAGGTGAAGAAATCAAATGTCAAAATCATTTAAAGTCACTCATTTGACAAGAAGAGTAAATATTAAGGAACCAGTGTTGGAATAAGTTTCACATTAGCACATTATTACACAGTGCTGCAGACC